CTCATACTGCAAGACATCGCTCATTTACCATGTTAAAATGTACTTGGTTTGCGGGCATAATTTGTTCCGGAAACAAACTACTCATATTGCACGACATCACTCATTTGCCATGTTAAAATGTATTAGAAATGTTTTCTCATTTTGCAAAACACTCGCAAACCACGTTAATCGCAATCCAAGGTTTTACTGTAATGGCCATTTTTCTCTCCCACATCTCAAATGAGTAGGCCTTGGTGGTGAGGGCCTAGTTCCTTGTTCCTCATTGTCATTTCTAAATTATTCTCTCTCCCTTCCCTAAAATCCCCAGCTTTGAATCTCATGTCTCCAGACAATATCAGATTTTAACCTCTCCTTGTTGTAACCATTCATAAACCCCCAGAACAAGCCCGCTCATTCCCTGAGGGCTGTTACTGTCTCCAACACCTCTGTTGTCACTGTTTTTAGATTTTAATATCTACACAAATGATCCTTCCAATATCTTGGCCAGTCAGTTCCTTGATCTCTTCTCCTCCAACAATCCTATGTTCCATCTTCCACTTATTCCCTTGGAGTTACTCTAGAATTCACCATTCCAATAATCACACACCTCTCCATATTCTCAATTTCAAGCACCTTATTCCTCTATACCTCACACAAGCTAGGATAGCATGTGGTCCACCTGATTTGAAACCACAAAGATAAAAACACAAACATTTTTTAAAGTTCTCCAAAATAATCACTATATCTACATTTATATTTAAGATAAAATTTACTTCCTTTAAAGTATAAGATTTTTCAATATCTAATTTATACACCAGGGGTGCCAAAAAAATGTACACATGACCTGTATTCATCTTTTGTTATCGGTATATATTGAGTACTACAATTTTAATAGTTTTTTCCTTTCTTAAATGTGTATACATTTTTTTGGCACCCTCTGTATATGCTATCCACTTCTACTTTTCTATCCCTATTTGCTTTCAAAGCTATAAGATAAATATATGTGGGTGTATTTATCCCTTAGCTGACATTTTTTTAACTCACTGACTGATTGCTTGATCCATAACTGAAATGACAAGGTCTGGGAAAACAGCAGGCCAAAACCCTATCTAAATCTGTGGAGTATCAAGGGAAATGGGCTCAAATTGCACAGACACATCTTTGCAGCACACAAGTATTAGTAGTAATAACGGATAGAAAGGATGTGTAAATGGCACAAAAATTCACACCCAGAAGGCCCAGGTTTCACAGAGTACAACCTGAATTTAAGTATTATAAAACAGACATACCCTTGACACAGAAGACACAGGATTTGAGATTTTTACTGATTTATCTTCAAGCCTGTAATTGAGCCCACTCAGTAAATGTGTATTTCATATACTAATTTTTCAGTTCTGAAATTTCCATTTAATTCTTTTATATGGTTCTATTTTTCTGAGAACTATCTTTCCATCATTTCAAGAGTGTTCACTTTTATCTCATGGAACACAGATATAATAGTTGCTTTCAAGTCTTTTTCTGATAATTCCATCATATGGATTATCTCAGGGTTAGCATCTGTGTATTGTCTTTTTCCTTAAAAAAAAGGTCAGATTTTCCCGTTTCTTTGTATATCAAGTAATTTTAGATTATATCCTAGACATTCTGAAAATTGTTATGAAACTCTAAATTCTATTAACATCTTCTGGAGAATTTGATTTTTTTGTTTAAGCTTAGACTGCGTTTCCATCTATTTTGCCTTTTGTGGGTGGTAATTCTAATGTCAGTTCAGTTTTCAAAGCCTTTACTATGTTATTTGGGTTTCTCTTCTGCATGCATCATTCAGGGACAAGTCTGGGATTTGAGTAGTGGTTTATATTGTAGTTCATTTCTCTAAGTCTTTGCTGCGTCTGTTCTGTGCATGAGTAACTCATGTGTGAGGTAGGATCTCTGTGGGCTCATAGTCACAATTAGGGAAGCTCCTCTCACATCAGCTCTGTTCTCTCTGAGATTTCCCCAGCATGCTCCTGTTTCCAAGGGCCTCTTTCCCAACTCCTCTGACCAGAGAAATGGTTTTTTCTCAGAGTTTTATGCGCTTGTGCCACCATGGCAATGCAACTTTATAGGTGGAGATGATCTCAGGGCAAGTGTGAGGGAGAAAAAAAAACGATTCTCTTTCCCTGTCCTCTATCTAGAAATGGGGGTTTCTCTTGGAGCTTCTGCTAACTGCTATACCCACTGTGCAGTTTCACAATTCAGCCCACCATTAGGTCAAAGCTGGGTCATGGGGGGGGGGTAACTCACCATTATACGGATTATTAATTTTCAAGTTATAACTTCCGTTCTCAATTTGCATGCTATTATTAATTTTCAGATTCTTCAGATAGTTGCTTTTGGTATTCTATTGACGTTTTTAGTTCTAATCCACCAGAGATAGGGGCTTATACTCCATTGTGGCTTATCCACTACATTACATTCATTTGCCAACAGACTTTTCACCTAATGGCTTTAGTAGTCATTGACTGATGATTCTCTAGATGCATAATTTCATTAGAAGTTGCCCCATCATTCTCCCAGCGTTTCTTATCAGCTGTGATTCTTCTATAAAGGTAAACTTTCCTTCCTATTTGGTTATTCTGGAATATAATTTGGGTAGAAAAATAATAATAAATGATTGATTCTTTCATCTACCAATGATTTTCAAAGTAATGAACTGTGCTGTGTAATGAGAGCATTTTTTTAAGTATTATTATGAACTTTTGGATTCTTATATATGTGTATTTCAATCTACTGCAGTCATGATTTTTATTATTATTATTAGTTTCAGGTGTACAGAACAATGCAATATTTATCCTTTTCACCCCTCACAAAATGACAACCCCTCTCCCCCATCGATTGCCCCTCCACCCCCGATTTCATACATATCTATTACAATTCCATTGACTCCATTCCCACACTCTACTCCACATCCCATGACTATATATGTATTAAATTATAGTTGACAGATAATATTATTCAACAGCAGCTTCAGATGTACAGTGCAGTGGTCAGGCCTCTACACCGTCCATGAAGTGGTCTCCCTAACAAGACATGAGACCATCTGGCCCCCTAAAAAATATTTACAACATTATTGATTATATTTCCCAAACTGTCTTTTCTATCCCTGAGGCAATATTGTGGTTAGCAATTTATATTGTCTTGTCCCTTCCCCTTTTCCCTCATCCCCACCCCCGCCCCATCTAGCAATCATCAGTTTTTCCTCTGTGTCTCTGAGGCAGTCATGACATTTAAAAAAATCTATTGTTTTATGGAAAATTTCAAACATGCAAAAGTAAAAAAAAAAGAATAATATAATTATCCCATATACCCATCACTCATTTTCAACAATTATCAAATCATGGTCAATCTTTTTTCATCTATTCTTCCCTACCCTATTCCTTCCCATTCTTCTTTGCATTATTAGAAGCAAACCCCAAAATCTATATATCTTTTCATCTGTAAATATTCCAGTATGAATCTATAAATTACAAGAACTTTTAAAAAAACAACCACAATATTATACCTTTAAAAGTTAACAAAAGTTATTTTGTGTGTAAGAACTGTGACACAAAATAACAAAATATTTGAGATAAATTTTTAAAATCCTAAATATACAAGCATGAAGGTATATACCATGGCTAATGTATTAAAAGTCTCAATATTGAAAGACATCCAATATATCCAAATTGACCTACAGATCCAATATCAAGCTAGTTAATAATATTAACAAATATTAAACTTGCTTAATATTAAGCAGGAAGTTTGTTTATGAAATTGATAGGCTATGTATAAAACTTTTACTTACATTCAAAGGAATGAGAAGAATTACAAGGCAATTTTAAACAATAAAGTAAGAGGACTTAAAGCTACAATAATGAAAAGAGTATGGCACTCAAACAGAATAACAAATAGAACAATGGAACAGAACAGAGTTCAAAAATTAACCCACAAATAAATCTGAATTACAGTTACCTGAATTGCAACAAAGGCACCACTACTGCATTACAGTAGGGAAAGGATAGTCTTTTCAATAAACAATGCTTGACCAAATGGATTTCCATATGGAAAACAAAATGAACCAGGAAGGAATCCTACCACATTTCCTGCATAAACCTAAATGTAAAAGTTAAAACAATTAAGTTTATAGAAAAAAATACAGAATATTTTCTTGGCTTTGGGACAGGCAAAGATTTCTTAAAATACAAAAAACACTAACCACAAAAGAATACTTTGATAAAATGGACTTTTTTTAAATTAAGAAATTATCTTAATGAAGACAAACTATTAAAACAATTAAGAAATAGGAGAGACAGCTTTAATACTTAATCCAACAAAAAACTTATCCTAGAAATAAAGAACTCCTAAAAATCCATAAGACAGACAACCCAATAAAAAATTGGGCAAATGACATGAACAGGCATTTCTCAAGAGGATTGGATCCAAATGGTCAACAAGCATGTAAACATGTGCTTAAACCTTTTAAGTTATCAGGAAATTATGAATTAAAACTACAATAAATTTTCACTACATATACAGAAGAGATAATATTAAAAACACTAATAATTTCAAATGTTGGTAAGGATGTAGATCAATTAGAAAACTTATACACCGTTGGTGGACTCAACCACTTTAGAAAACCGGGAGCATCTACTAAAGCTAAGTAGCCAAATTACCCTAACCCAGCAATTTCACTCTTGGATATTTACCCAACAGAAATGCGTACATATGTACACCAAAAGACATGCTCAAGAATGTTCACAGCAACATTGTTCATAACAGCCCAAAACTGATAATGATCCAAATGTTCATCAACAGTAGAATGGATAAATTGTGGACATATAAATGAAGTATTAAAAAGCAATGCAAAAGGATGAACTATTGCTTGCTATGTGAATCAACATGGGTGACTCTCATAAACTAGACAATGGTCAAAAAAGACAGACACAAGAAGTTCGAAAATAGACAATACTAATGAATAGCGAATGAAGTGAGATAACAGTTACCTGTGGGAGTGTGTGATGACTGTCAGGGAGCATGAAGGAGGCTCCTGGGTTGACGAAAATGTTCTATGTCTTGATCTTGGTATTGGTTTAATGAGTGTAGACGTCATAAAATTTCATCAAAATGGGACTCAGGGTTTATGCATTTCATAATATGCATGTTTTAATTCAATATAAAAAGTTTTAAAAAGTTAGCAATACTTTAACCAGTCCCCTGTTTTAATTTTTAATTTTTTTGATTATTTTACTTGGTGAAATTTAAGTCTAATAGAACTAGGTTTCTACAACAGTCTGCCTCTTAGTTGGGAAATAACCATTTTCAGTACAATTACTGAAGAATTATCTTGATATGTGGATCCTTCCCACATTATAAGGGCAACAGATAGTCTAGCTTAAAGTTAGACCTATCCCGTATTCACAAACTAGAAAATACTAAGACGGATTTTTTTCTTAATGTAAATATAATTGATTAATTCTTCTATTCTTGAGTTTCCTTCAAAATATAAGAAATTTAATAAAACCATATCTACTTTTACAAACATATTTATGAAGCTAAGGGAACACATAATAAATTTTTAATGAGATGAGCTAAAGTAATATTAAAGAAAAGTACAGGATAGATGAAAATTTAATAGACTATATCTAAAATTTGTTAACATTCCAAATTACACTAATTGTTATTTAACTATGATCTTATGATTAAAATAATTGATGAGATAATCAAGAATACTGTTACTATAAAGATCTTATCTTTGCAGAGCGGTTTTTACATTTGCAAAGCTCTATTTCATTTCATTTCCACATTACAACTAAACCCATTTTATAAAATACTTACTAAATCATAAACTTATTAAATACAGAAAGCATCACAGAACAGAGCATCTCCATTGATGACCACATGGCTAATCATAAACCACCCAACAAAAAATACTGTTCAATAACAGCATCGCCATGTAAACAGAGCATGTGTTAAAGAACTTTGAAAACATAAATGCAAGGAATAAAAGTGTATTTTTAATGGAATTAAGTAATAATTTAAAAGCAACACTGGACATAATTTCCAGGTTTTGGGATAGCTGCTAAAGAATTTCTTTAAACTTTCTCCTTGGAAATAATGTCAAACTTCCAGAAAAGTATAAGAATAGTTCGAAGAACTCCTATATACACTTTATTCAGATTCACTCTTAACTGTTAACATTTGCATCATTTCCTTTACCATAAACATATTTTCTGAACCATATAAGAACCAGTTATACATATCATGCTCTTTTATCCCTAAGTACTTCAATGTGTACTTCCTAAGAACAAGACATTCTCTTAAATAATAATAGTATTAGTTACTAACTTCAGAATATTTAAAAATTATACAATATGTTAATTTAATGTCTATTTTCCAACTTTTTTAACTGAGCAAATAAAGTCCTTTAGGGCTTTCTTCCACCTCCAGTACATGACCCAGTCCAAAGTCATGTATTGCATTTAGCTGTCATATCCCTCTCAACTCCTTTAATCTGGAATAGTTTTCCTCAGCTAAGTATCTTTTAAACAATCTTATCTTTACATAAGATTTTAAAAGTTGGCTTCGTGAGCAAACTATATAGGGAACTTTCATTTTAAAAAGGTGTTCAGTGGAAGAGTGGGAAAAGCTTCAGGTAGATTAGAATGTCTTCCTATCCAAAAGTGGCTTTTATAGTATATATACATTTTAAAGTGTTACAGTGAGGAGTCTTCTAGGTTTCTTTGAGATTGGTAATTCTTGGATTGGTGGTTTAGTTAGTCTCTTAAGATTAAAAAAATATATATATACAGAGGACACCAAAAAAATGTATACACATTTTTAAAAAGGAAAAAAACTGTATTAAAATTGTAATACTCAATATATACCAAAAGATAACAAAAGATGAATACAAGTCATGTGTATACATATTTTTGTTTTGGAACTTAAACAAATCTGGCCAATGATTTGATGACTATCTGGAAAGAATGGATCCAGAGGAAATTACTGTTTTCAACAAAATTCTCTCCTATGGTTAACAAAAACTCCCAATCCCGGTACGAAAACTCTTTAAAGAAACCGGAATTATTGTGATCGTGCATAGACATAACAATTATGAGAGCTACAACGGATCTTGTTATTTCACTCAAAAAACACTGACTGTGTGCCAACTATGTGCCATGCATATGATAGCTACAGGGGGATCCAGTGGTTAAAGCAACAGGCATGGTACCTAGGTATTATTTTTCCCTATTTTGATTATGAAGCAACTAGAATTCAGAGTGGGAAATGTGTCCAGTCACAAAACTATTAATATTAAGTGTTCTAGAAGGACAAGAAAGGTAGATACTAATCATGGTCTTTTACCTCCTAATAAAGGACTTAACCAGCTTGTGTCAGCCTGCAGAAGAGCTCCTTAAGATCATCATCCAAGCATATCCACTGATTCCAAAAGGTACTGTACACCTTCATCCCCAGCATGCTTAACTTTGTTCCACTAAGTCAGTCACCAACTACAAGTTTTCAAATTATGTATTACTACTTTCAATAAATAAATAACAGTCTCCATACATTAGAAAAAAAAGAAACTGTACAAAAGGTATAAATAATCTTTTAAGTGCTTAAGGTACTATGGTAACATTAAAACCTGGTTAAAACTGAGAATACTGTACTAATTTTCTTTCCATATATTGGGTTGTTGGAAAAGTCATAACGTATTTTTTCTGTTTTTCGTTGCAAAAATGTGTCATGACTTTTCCGACAACCCAACACATTCATTTTAGAAGTAATAGAACTGATTCCTCTTGATTTATTTTCTATTTTAAAACAGCAAAAACAGAGAATATGGGTTATACCTTCCAGGATAGAAAAACGTACACGTCAGAGAGAATTGGTACCAACTCTTGCCTCCTTCTAAATTCCTCCCACTCATCTCTTAAACCTTACCATCCAATCTATTGTATAAATACTTCAACTATGGAGAGCAGAAGTCAGCTAATTTATTCTACAAAGGGTAACATAGTAAATATTTTTGGCTTTCTGGGCCCTAAGGTCTCTGATGCAACTACTTACCTCTCCCACTATAGCTTGAAAACAGTCATATACAATATGTCCAAAATAAGAATGGCTGTGTTCCAATAAAGCTTTATTCATAGATGGTGAAATCTGAATTTCATATAATTTTTACATGTCACAAAGTATTCTAATATATTTCCCCCAATCATTTGAAAATGTAAACACTACTCTTAGTTCACAAGTCTTAAAAAAACAAGCAGCAGGCTGGATTTGGTAGCATGCAGACCCCTGATAGACTCACTTGTACGCTGGAGCTGTAGGAGGTAACTGGCCCCTCCTCACCTTAATCAATTGATTCTTTATCTCTAAACCTAAAATCTCACAGGAAATAATTCTTATTCTACTTTTCAGTCACTTGCAAATTAACCTTTCTTTATCTCAGAAAAAAAACAAAAGTTATTTCTTACTTTTGAGCAGTAACTTCGAAAAACTTCAGGAATTGCTGAAAATACATGTGGGTATCATTTATCTTACCAATGAATAACTTTTCATTCCTCCTAAGAATGAAATTCTAAAGATAATTTAAAACTATCAAGGAAGGTAACAGATCATGCCCTAAATATTTTATAATACTTTTTCCTATGCTCAAACCCACTATACTCAATAATTATTTTTTTAGAAGAAAAAAAGATGGCATACCTCTGAGCTCAAAATGAAGACTGAAGGTATCTAGTGAAACTCACCAAGTTTTAAAGATTCATCTAAGAGGAATGCAGAATTTTCCAAAGGCATCTTACACTGTGACAAAATCAGCTTCTAAGTTTCGGCAGCTTCACAGAAAAAAAAAAAATTTCTGTAAAACAAAGACAGCTGTGGAAATAATGTTAAACAAATTCTAAGTAACAATACCTCCAGTATTGTTTTCCCATTCATGTATACAACATTAACTGGGCCCTACTCTGAGCCAGGAATTGGAGATGCAATGAACATGTCAGATCCCATCAACCCCTCTGGGAGCTCAGTCTGTAGGGCAACTCCAAATGGGATGAAAGGCTTTAAGAATCACAAATGATGGTGTGAAGAGAAAGTATGGCAGAGACACAAATCAGTCTGGTGGAAAATGGTAAGAAAAGGCCCCCTTTAGAGGAATTTAATAGGGAGGGGAATTTAATACATGCACGAGTAGGATCTGGCCAAATAAAATAAGGGGAGAGGGGAAAGAAACGTTTCATCCCAAGGGAACAGCATGTTCAAAAGGCCAAAGGTAGCAGAGAATATGGCATCTGTATGGAAGTAACAGAAGTCCAGTGTGGTTGCTCAGAGTGAGAAAAGGGATGAAAGGCGGCATCTCTGAGATGAGATGGGTGAGGGAGGAACATTAGAGGTAAAGCAATTTGCCCTGAGGAAGTCATATGGGGCTGAAAAAGAGCCCATTTTAAGCCTGTACTACTTGACTACAATATACTAGCCATTCTGAAGCTCTTCCTAGCTCCCTACCCTCAAGGATCTGAGAGGGGACCCTTCAAAAGGAAGCTGAGGGTAAGTTCTTGTGGAGGAAGGGATTTTTGTAAGGGCCTGTGGAAAGACTGCCCTGGGCCAAGAGCCAGCCTCCCTATGAATGAATGATCAACTGACCATCAGAGTTCCTGCAGAATGATGGAAAAGAAGTCAATCACAGCACCATTCTCAATTACTAATTATTACTTATCAAGCACTTTACTATATGCAAAGCCATGTTCTAAGTGCTTTACACGTATGAACTAATTCATTTCAAAACATCCCTGAGGCAGGTGCTTTTATTACCCTGTATTTCCAGTATGGTTTTATGAAACAGTCCAATCATGGCCATTAGTTTTTGTTAACAATTAAAATAAAAATTATCAGAATGTTACCATTTCTTACCACAATATTAAAAGCATTTTAAAGAAAAGTACTATTTTAACTATTACCGTATTTCCCCATGTATAAGACGCACCCTTTTTCAAAAAATTTGGGGTCTAGAAACTAGGTGTGTCTTATACAGTGGTTGTAGCTTTTTTTTACTTGCATGTCCCGTTTTTCACGCTTGTTTTTACACTCATACAACCACTGTATAACATGCACCCAGTTTTTAGACCGCAAATTTTTCAGAAAAGGGTGCTTCTTATACATGGGGAAATACAGTAATTAACAAAGCTAAGATACTTTACAACTTATTAATTTGGTTATTTCTTTTTTAACTAGCAGTTCTATTAAGGAAAAGAGTTGAAGAAATTCTGGTCTTGCTCGTTCATTCACTCACTATGACAGGTACTACATAGCCAATGATGAAAACATACCACATTCCTGCCCTAATGGAGTTTTAGTCATTGAAATACAATGAAGATTAATACCCTGTGGCAATTATATTTGTGCAACATATCCTGTTTTATGAATGAATTACGAACCAACAGACAAAATCTAATGCAACAGAAAAAAAACAAAACCTGAAGGGAATGGACTGTGAATAAAAATTTAAAAAATACACGTTAAGAGAGGAAGAAGGGGAAGAATAAAAAACTGCTCTACTGAGGAACATATTCAGGAAAAACGGAAAAATAAAAAAGAGAGCACAGAGAAATAGCAGTAATCAATGCACTATAATGAAGGACCTTAAGGTGAACATAAAAAGCAGATGAATGTTACTCAGCAGAAGATTCAAAACTATAATCTAATGATGAACGGTTAAACCTTAATCCAGCAGTTTTCACACTGGAGAGCAGGTGGTTTTAAGGGAATCAATTTCCAGATCCTTAATTTCCATAACTGCCAACTAGTTACTAGAATATCAAGGTCAGAGCATCCTGCTGGTTTCTCCTTTTCTATACTCTACTTTATAATCCTCCTCCTTCCAGTTCACAAGGGGTCTCACTACAATGCATTTCTCTGAGATGCAGAAACATCCAGAACACCAAAGAAATCATTTGAAATACTGAAATGGGGGGAGGGGGTATCCTTTAATGTAGGTACCATCTAGCTAAGCTGGTCTTGTCTTTCTCTGTCCCATACACTTCTGCTAAGTACAATACCTGACATTTAAAAAAAGATATTTGGCCTCTAAGGGCTGTTAAAACTATAGAAGGTAAGAATAATAAAAACTTCTAATTGGCTAGCCGAGTGGCTCAGTTGGTTAAGAGCTTGCTCAAGAGTGTGAGCTCTTGGAATCTAAACAACAACATAAATGAACAAACAAAACAGAAACAGTCTCATAGATACAGAGAACAAACTGATGGTTGCTAGAGGAGAGAGGGTTTGGGAGGCTGGGTGAGAAAGGTGAAGGGATTAAGTACAAATTGGTAGTTATAAAATAGTTACCAGGGTGTAAAGTACAGTATAGGGAATCTAGTCAATAGTATTGTAATAACTATGTATGGTGCCAGATGGGTACTAGATTTATGGGGGGAGGGCGGTCATTTTGTAAATTACATAAATATCTAACCACTATACTGTACACCTGAAACAAATATAATATTAAATGTCAACTATAATTGAAAAATTTAAAAAAACAATCAATAAACCTCACTAAACCTTGAAAAAAAAAATAAAAAAAATAAAGAGTGCGAGCTCTGAGCAACAGGGTAGCCAGTTCAATTCCCACATAGGCCAGTGAGCTGTGCCCAAGCTGAGCTGCCACTGAGCTGCCAACAGGTGGCAGGATGGCTCAGCTGGTGAGAGCACATGCTCCTAACAACAAGGTTGCCTGTTCCAGATGGTGGGCTACGCCCACCTGCAACTAAAGACTGAACTCTGCACCTTGAGTTGAGCTGTCTCCTGGGTGGCTCAGGAGATAGAGCATGTGCTCTGAATAACGAGGCTGCTGGTTCGACTCCTGCATGGGATGGTGTCTACACCCACCCGCAACTAACTGAACACAGCACGTTAGGCTCAGCAGCACAACTGGACTTGTAGATGAGCTTGCTGGGCCCTCCACAACTAAGATTGAAGGACAACAACTTGGCTGTTCCCCTGCCCCAATAAAACAACAACAGCAACAAAACTTCTGATTAAGAAGTTCACCTGAGAGAAAATGCAATGAAAACAGTGATAATAAATACTGATGACAGTTATAACCTAATTTACCCAGGTAAAAAGCTTATGGTCAGACACTTTACATAATTCACCTAGCACTATTTAGAATTCAAGATCTGGGAAGCATCTTGAATTACAATTCAAGATCTGTAATTTTACCATTATCAGAGAAATGAGTACATTTTATCAATCACCTGTGTCTGTGTCTTAAAGATATTTTGTATGATTTCAAGGAGCTGGGAATAGAGCCCTTACTTCTTTCAAATCCATGTCATATTTTCAAGTAAAAGTAACATACATCTAAGTTAATTTAGTTTTTATATTTTCTTGGGCATTTATTAAGAAAGATTTTTATAAACTTTTGCCAAAAGCATACTGGACACAGTAAATCCATATTTTTTCTACCTAGACAAGTATTTCTCTGCTCAGTTTTTCATTCCTAAATGGATTTATTAGTTATAGATTAATTTTGTAGAAATATATCGCAAATTCTACTGTAAATGATATATTTAACAAAATTATCACTAAATCTTTTGTAATCTTCATACTAGCAGCCCAATATTTTTCTTTTTATTATTTATTTCCACTGAGACCAGTCTTATTCTAACATAATATTCAACCATGAATATATAAATTCCATGAAAGAAGCAGTTCCCTCTGAAGAGATTCATTTATGTTTAGTAATTGTTTATAATAAACAAAATTAATAATATATTTATGTTGTAATAGTAATTATAATTTAGAAGAAATTTTTTTCTTTAACACTTAGGCCATTATTCATGATTAATAAAAATTTTTAATTTCAACTCATATTCGTATTTTGGATGTCCAGAAGCATTTAATTGCTGAAAGAAAAGAACTGCCCAGAATCTCACATCCAGATAAAACATTCTTTAGGAAACAGGAAAATTAAAATTTCCACAAAGGAAGGAAAACTAAAAGAATCTGTCACCAGGAGACCTATACTAAAAGAACGGCTATGGGAAGTTCTTCAAACAAAAAGGAAATGATGAAAAAAGGGATACTGGAACATAAGGAAGAATGGAAAGAATAAGAATGTGGGTAAATACAACAGTCTTTCCTTCTCCTTTTAAGTGTTTTATATTATTTTTTGATGGTTTAAGCACAAATTATGACACTGTGATATGGTTCTCAATGAACGCAGAGGAAATATAAAAGGCAATTATATTAGAAATGGAGGAGGGGTAAACGGACTTAACCAACAGACTGCATTAAGTTATATATACAAAATATAACACCAAGAGAAACCACAAAAAAAGCTATTCAAAGAGATAATCAAAACAGGATAGAATCTTAAAAAAATGTCCAAATTAACGTACAGGCTTCTTTCTCCCTCTCCTACTACAACTGAAAAAGAAGTTAAATCACCAGATACTCTATCCCCAGGCAGGACAAGTGTTGCTCAAGTCTGAACACACTGATGAGTCAGTCACATACTCTAGGGGTAGAATTTTCAAAGCACTTAAGATATCAGCTGAGACATTACTCTCCTACAGTACTGGTGGGAATATAAACTGGTACAAGTTTATGGAAAACAATATATCAATAACCTAACAAAACTACAAATGCTTTTACCCTTTGATCCAGCAATATGGTGGGATATAATGAGTATTTAAAAAATAAAACAGGATAAGAAACAAAAGTCAGAATACAGGACACCCACAGATGGTAAGGGTATTTCCTGAAACTGCTGTTTCAGATATGTGTTGATAAATGGGTACATGTGCACTGGGTCACAACATAAAGTATATTTCTTACTACAAGTGTGGTCCAAGAAGTTTGGAA